TTGAACACCTGGTAGGATGGGACGCAGTGCATTAATCATCTCACGGTACTGAGCACGGTCAGCATCTCCCATCAGGAGCTGAGGCTGCCAATCGTACGCCATGTGTGTACGAAACAAGTTACCCAGGGAATTCAACAACCAGGCAAAGTCTTGATTGGTTCTCTGTGATGTGATGCACACACAGAGCACGTGAAAATGGCCAGCGAAATCGGAGTATCCGAACACAAACAATGGATACCCCGACTTGTTGGTTTTGAACGTCGTGTCCACATGGCACAGAATTCGAACATCTGGATTGCCCAGGCATGCCGCGCGATACTGATGAAGTAGGTCGAACGTTGTAACGCCTACACGCAAATTACGTAATGAAGTACTAGTACAGAATCAGACCCACCGACGCGAAATGAATCTACACCTCCATCTCCAACTGTAGGTACACCGTTGTCAGTTGCGACACCAAAAACAAATGGTTCGTGGGCGTTCGCATCATCCGCATGGTCCGGCATTCCGTGCTGCACAATTACAGCTTGGACAGCCGCTACAGTGCTCGCGTGGATCATGAACTTCTTCGTGATATACTTCACGACTTCCTGGACTTGCGCCAGGCTAGGTAGAGGCACATCGCCAAATTCACCCCGGGCGTGAGCAGCCTCTAACTTCGTGAACAGGTGCTTTGCCTTCAGAGCAGGCTGCTCTGTAATCCATTCGCGCAAATGATCCTTCATGTCAGGTGTTACCTACTTAAACATTAGATCTATTACTGCAATACAGAGAGTTCGTGCCTTCGTTGGACGAGGTGACGCATGTCCCTGTAGTTCAGGTGGCATTGCGTGGACACCACATATGTCCACAGTGGCTGTCGCAGACACCGAGCACACTCTAATCCTGTACGAAGCATTGCATCGTGGCACGGCCAATTCGCCGTTGATGGGGTCTGGGCGATGACATCTAGCGGACACACAGCGCGTATACTTGATTTGCATGTCATGCGGGTTAAAGCAGGCAAGGAGAAATGGGTCGCCATGGTTGACAGTGCAGCCTGTACGGTTACTAGTCGGAACACGATGCGAGGGCAGCGTATCAAGAAAGGCCCCAAGCTCTTGCTCGGATAGCGTGGCGAGGTTAACGAACGCTCTCCCATCCATGTCGATGGACCTGTAGGCGAAACGTGTTCTATTTTGGCGTAGGAGCGTCAAGTTGTAATCCTCGTTTCGTTACGAATTCAAGAACTTGACATTAAACCAATGAGCAGCAAGCTACGTCAAATTGCCCAATGACGTTTTGATGCTAATGCCCATTTCAGCCACTTAGCAACAAGATAAGTAGGTCAAGCTGACCAGGATGGCAGGTTTGATGTTAGGTTAGTTGATCTTAAGCATCTTTAGATTCGTTTTTTATACAAGCCTATCAGTAAATCGCAATTTTGAGTAGGCCAATGGCCTCTTATATCATCTTTTTTACAACCAACCAGTAACAAGAAATGCGAATGAATAGCAAAATTTAGCTGGCCTATTAAAATCGTCAGCCTATCATAAATTTGTCGAGAATACTTGTCCAATGATTTGATTACCTCATAAGCCAATCCGTAACAAGTAATGTGATATTATTGGCAAAAGGCAAATTCACATTTGGTCATTGGGTTAACTCATGAGCCAATCAATGGCAAGTATTATATCATTTAATGGTGTCATTCAAACACAGTATTATAGCGCAAATAACACTGCACTGGAATTTGTAATAATACAGCTGTTACGGTTGTGTGTGCTGATGTTACAGTAATGCTGTCGTGCGATGTGTGTTAATGCTGTTATGCGATGTGTGTTGAACGCAAGTCATTTTTTATAACAGTTATAACAGTGTTTAATTGTGCTATTCACTCAATGAAGCAATAATGTTAAGGCCCGGGTGTCGCGTCTGAGAGTAATCTCGGAATTCCTTGCACAAGAGCACCGTTAACCCATTGCTGTGGTCGTTACTCCGAATGGCTCTAATGGCCCAGAGAACCAGTGCTTAGGATGGTGAAGTACACGGCTTGCAACAGACCCCCCCGAAGGGATTAGAGCGAACACTTGCCTAGTCGGAGGTAAAAAGCACAATGAACTGCCAGACACAATGATGTGAAGAAGTTCGCTCGTAGCCAGTCAATACATAACACGTGATAGATGCATAATCATGGTAGATATCACCACAAGTCACTTGTTCTCCGTGAGACGTTTGACAGCTGACAGGGCGAATGCCCGCCATAGGTTTCTTTCCTTTCACATGTTATTCTGACCCAGAACGTGGTCCTATACATGTGCGAAAACTTCGCGGTAAAACCAGTGTATCATGAAATATCCCTAAAATTTACCTGTGATTCCCTAATTCTTCTGTGCAAAAACATTTGTCTCCTCCCCATGGGCGTGCTACACGAACCATGTTCTTCATCACTATAGACATGACCTGTTTTATGTCGGCCAATAGTTGTGCAATTGTACTGGTTTGTCGACTTGTGCTACTGCTGGTCATGGTAGAAATGTCTCCCCCACTAACTGCCCCTATTCCCTCACGTTTCGACGCCCGTAGGCGCTGACAAGAAATGCATATATGTTTATATCAATTACAATGAATGTGGTCAAGCAACTACACATCTAAGGCCACTGAAGGACTTAGTGTACACAGCGCCCAAGTCAATCAAAGTCCACCCACCTAAAGGATAGGAATAGTAGAATCTTGAATGTGGCTAGCAATTACTAACGTGCTGTGTATTACCAAAATGCAGTTTGTACATTCCGTCAGTTGATATAGCCAACGACGACCCTTGACATTCGTGGGCCCATGAAATATTCCACATGTTCTGCCGCGAGGACAACAATAGTCCAACGTAGGGTTTGTCGTCGCCTTGATCGGCATACGTCCCTTCAAAGACGTCCAGTACAATCACCCTGCGGCTACATACTGTATGTGAACGATACAACACATAGTATATTTATGTAAAATAGTACACACCGATACTCTTCATCCTGCTCCATGAACTCGTCGTACGTGAATCCTTCACCACGGTCAAAAAATGCCTCGGACCACCGATGCGCTTGACCCCACTCAACAAGCTCGGCAAGATTGTTCATCTCCCAGCCTCCTCTTTTCTGTCGACCAA